TAGAGGAGCGTGTAAACAGAGCAACATGAAGATGTAGAGGAAAGAGCAACAAATTCTACCTGGAAGAGAGGAGGAATTGGGGAAGACTTCATGGAATTGATGGCATTCGCATGAGCACTGAATACTGAGTAGAATTTTTCCAGGTAGGGATAATGAGATGAGAACAGAAGGAAATTCAGAGAGGATAAATTTGTGTGAATCAAGGCAAGGATGTGGTGTGTTTAGGAGAAGGATGGTCTAGTTTATTTGGGCTGAACCTGTGGGGTCTGGAAGGAAATGGAGGCATATAGCTCATGATAGTGTCCTGGAGCTGGGCTCTGAAGGCAAGGCTGAGGAATTTGCTGTTTCTTCATGTGTGTGTATCTGAAAGGCCACGAGGAGTGATTATTTTTGGATTGGAGACTTTGAAAAGTAACCTGGGCAGCAGAGGAGGGAGAGAATTAGCAAAAAGAAAGCTAATGACAGTGGTTTTCACTGGGGATGGGCAATCTATCACAGCAACTTGGCAAGCTTTTGCAAAAAATACAAAGGCATTGTGTTTTCCTCAGTCTTCTCTCTTTGCCCTCAACTGAGTTTCTGATATGCCATCAGGTGATGGAAAGGTACGCAAGATAATTTGAAAAAACTTACTAGGTAATGATGATACAGTTCATCCTTTCCTCTGTTATTGCATTGGCTTAGCCAAGAGATGATCAAAGAAGGCTATGACAGTGGAGGTGAAAAAGGATGCATCTGAAAGGTACATGAAAGCTGGAAATAAATAAACAGGGTTGGAGAGAAACCATGACAAACACCTCAGTAATTAGTCTAAATGAGTACAGTGAGGAGTAGAGAGTCTTCATAAAGTTTTGGATTCTACTTGATGTATATGGCATTTGTTTTCCCTACAAGTAGTTACATAAGAAGCTGGGTTTTTCAAGAGCTTAAAAGTATAGATTCTTAAATTCATTATGAAACAACAGAAAATAGCATGTAAGTGTTCAGTGAAGTCAAAAGAAAACCAGACACAATTAAAATCTGTGTTGGTTGAGGTAGACAGATAAGTCTTCTAGGAGAAGTAGAACTTGCATTGCATTTTAGAGCATTAGTAGGATATTCAACTTTGAGAAATGGGGAAATTAAGAAAGAAGATTGTTCCCCAAAAGGAGTAAGATGAGAATGACTAATGATGCTTCCACTGGGGAGGATCATAATTTAAATGACTTAATAATAGAAACCAGTATGTTCCCATTTATTCTTTACTTCAAGGAGAAAGCATTATTATTCACTATTTATAAAAGAAGAAGTAGGTTCAAAGAGATTGAATAAATAGCTCATGTGGTTCCAGATAGAGTAGTGTACCTTGAACCTAGATCTAGAACCTAGATCCTAACTCCAGACTCTTCTTCTGACCCATAGATATGTCTTAAAGGTAGCCCTCTTTCTCAATTATTTTAATATCCCTCCTTGCTAGCATGTAGTCTGAAAACAGAATAGAGTTTACGTACATATTTATTGAATTAAACTAAAAATTATCAGTCTTTTTATGTATCAGTTTAATTATTTGCCATCTACACTTAAGATTAAACACAGAAATATAGTATTGTGAGATTAGAAATCTCCTTAAAGATCTAATCCAACTGGCCCACGTTGTAAAGGAAATAAAGACTCAGAGAAAGAAAGAGACTTACCAAAAATGTCACATCCAGTTGTCAGCAGAGTTGGATCAATACCCAGATTCTCAACTTCTCAACCAGCTCTGTGATCACAGATTAAATGGTACTTCAATCCAAGACAGCCACATATGTGGTGTGAGATAGTTCTCCCTCTTCTGAGTGCTCAAAGTTAGATGGGAGAAAAATACAGATAGGCATCAGAGGTGACTTGATAGCTAAGAATTCTGACTATATCAGTTGACCATCTAATCATTGAATAAAAGAGGATTGCCACAGGAAGGAGGGATAGGAATTTATGAGTAGTTTCATCTGAGAAAAGAACAAGAAGCAACAGAAATAAAAGGTTGAGGGAGGTAGTAAATTTTCCAGTGGATGGTGATGATTTGCTAGGTATCAGCTTTGTCTTGCTTTCTTTTATGTCTAAAACATAGTTGCGACAAGAAATACCACCCCAATCTAGAGGGCTGATAAGGAAGTGATACAAGAGATTGTGTCAGCAGGCCAGGGAAGGGATCCTAGAACCCTGAGGATGCTCACAAGCTGTGTATTTGGCGGTGGGGCGGGGGTGGTGTTTCATTCCTTTGGTCCCGCAGGCTCCTTGTCCATTAGCGAGAGGGCTAGATTTGCTTTAGCTATTTTCTGTTGGCCACTTGCCTTCTTACTAGTGAGAGAGGTAGAGAAATCCCTTGAAGCTGTCTTCCATTGTGCTGGATGCTGGTTCCTAATGGTTGGCAGACTGTGGTGTTGCACCAACATTGATGGTGGCCCCTTTGCTCAGTCACCACCATGTGGGTTGGGTGGCATGCCTGGTCCCTTCAAGCTGCTGGAATTTAGTGAAATACCACTACTGACATGAACCAATGGAGAGCCTGGTCTTTTCACCTAATTTTTGTTAGCCTGTCCTCCTGGTCTCCCATTACTATGTGCTTCCATTTTACCTTCCTGTTCATTCTTCAAAATGACCACAAACAGACCTCACTCTTCTTTGTATTGCTAGAGGTCGACTGTAGGACCTTGTGCATGCCAGGCAAGTCCTCTATTGTTGAACTACACTTCCAGCTCCCAGACCTCATTCCCCCCACCTCTTTCTCATGGTACTAGGGATTGAACGCAGGACCTTGTGTGTGCTAAGCAAGCCCTCTACGACTGAGCTAATCCCCAGCCCTAAGCCTCATTCTTTATCTGTGTATCCTATCCTGCCCTCAGGTTACAGCTATTTGTTGTAGTTTTTAAATTCATTATTTTTTAGCATTTTGTTTTTTTAAAATTAACATGTGAAATTTATAATTTTTGGTGTATAGATCTATAGATTTACGTCTTGTATATACTCATGAATTCAACACCCAAAGAGGGATACAACATCTTTCACTTCCATGCCACTGCTTTATGGTCATACTCTCCTTTCATCCCGATCCCCCCAACAACTAATCTGTTGAGGATATTATATCAATGGAATTGTGTGAATGCAACATTTTTGAGAATGGCTTCTTCTCCTGAACATAATGCCTTTGAATTTCATCCATGTTTTTGTTTGTGCCAATAATTTATTCATTAGATTTATCCATTCACTGATTAAAGGACATTTTCATTGGTCCCAGTTTGGGATGATTATAAATAGAACTGTTACAAATATCTATGTAGAAGTATTTGTGTGATACAAATTCCTTACAAATACTGAGAAGTGGGATTGGTAAACTGACTCCTTTGTGGAGACCCCACCCTACTTTTGAACTTAAGTTTGCTGACCTGTTGGACTTGTGGATCTGGATTTATGTACCTGCCTTTCCCCTTCCTCAGAAGAGCAAGCTCTGTCTGCCAATTGTATTTCCATCTCTTGTATCCCACAGACTTCCTCTTTCTCGCTAGGAGCTCTCAGCACATAATAAAACTGGAGCCCACTTTAATTAGCCTACATCCTTTTCAGTTCTGAATTTTCTGTGATTTGGATTATTGCACCAGTATTGTAGTACCCTTTGCTGGCTGATTTGCAAGCTGGCTTCATGCCTGTGCTAAGACAGAAATTGTAGGTACAGTGGGGGAAAAAAGAAAAAAAGAAATGGGGGAAAAAGAAAGGAGGAGTTGTTGCGAACTACCATGGTAGTGACAGCCTGACAGGCACACTTCATGTATTTGATGCTACACATATAGATAAATGCTGTAATGTTTTTGTGGAACCCTACAATATTGTACTTGTCTTCTCAATTGCAGACAAAGATAGGCTGTCTGGAAAGCTGGACTCAGCCTGAAGCCTGCTACCCAGATTGCTATTTTGTGAAGCCTTCCACATACAAATGACTCAGATCCAAACATTCAGAAATGATCTTAGAGGGCCATCTGGTTCTTGCTGGTTCTGAAAGCTTCATTTAGCCTGTGGTGTGGATCCAGTTCAAAAGATAGTGAGAGCTCTTCATCAAGATTTAATATGTTAAACTGACCAAGGCTGGTAGCTGGCTTTTTAAAATAGCCAACAGTGCTGCTAGAAGGGCTGATGGATTATGTCTTTCATAGGTCAGTGGAAGTCTGATAAATGCTTAATTGATGATGATGTGGTTATATGGCAGCCTTGAAATGCACAAACATATACACACAGAGACCCAATTTTGTGTCATCAAGAAACATGTGTTAATTTGTTTGAGTGTCTGAGACAGTCTGGGAATTAGGCTGAACCAACACATCAAGCAGTAAGGTCTGTCAGAGCCATGTAATCACCATGATGTGTCATTTTTAATTCGTGAAGACAATACCACCAACCTTGCAGTTTGGACAACAGTGCTGATGGATTTGTCGTTTGCACTCCCTGGCTGCATGCTTTTCTGATCAGAGGTATGGCCGTGACCAAGGGACAAGGAACATTTCCTCTTTGGAAAGCTCACAGCTTGACAAGGGATGGAAGCCTGTAATCTCAATTTTAGGCTCTGACCAAGTCCAGATAGGGAAGTGAGGAGGACCCTGGGCATCAGGGAACATGAGCCAAAGACAGTCAGTTCAGCAAGCAAAATACATAAAGTGGCATTATTGATTCATCTTTTATTTCTTTGGGTTATAGCTGTCTCATCTGAAAAATGGTGTAATTAACTTATACAGACAAACCCAAAATACATCCTACGTGATGACATTTGATTCGTTCCTTAATGCTTTTCACTCTCCAGGTTGTAAGATCATCAAACTTGGGGCCTGTGCATATTTATGTGTACCCTTAGCATTACATATCACTAAGCATAAAAATATTTTAAAAATTATATTAAATGCTACAAATAAAGGTATAGCTTTGGAAGGGCACCACATGTTGGATGACATATGTGAATGTTGGGGTCATAAAGGAAACTATCTCACCTTTATCCCCAGGGTAATTCATCTTTCTACCATCCACTGACTGAAGATCCTGGAGTTCCGCATTTGATTGTTTTCATCTTTCTAAGATGTGGCACTTCAGGAAGTCTTCACTCATGCCAAGAAACTGAGACCTGGAGGACCTCTTAGGTGAAATACGGTTGGTGAGTTTTTACCAGCAAGTTTAATATTTGTTTTCAAAACCAAACACGTGCAGAAATTACCTCCATGCTCATGGCCTTGCCAGAGACGGGAAACATGACCTCTCAAGAGTCAGAATAAAAGTTAATGATTTATAACATTTTCTGACTGTCCTGACATGCCTACTCTGTAGAGAGGAGAACAGCGTTTAAAATGATTTCTTGCCAGGGAGATAGCTCAGGGGCACAGCACCTGCCTGGGCAAGCGCAAAGTCCTGAGTTCGATTCCCAGTACAAGCAACCCCCACAAAAGAAAACAAATAAAATGACTTCTTTCAATGGAGAAAGTGAGGCTTATGGTCTCCAAAGAGGGCATGCTAAGGCCCTGCAGCCTACCAACTTTCTTCAACAAGGTTTTTTCTCTTTTTCACTTGGTATATCACACTTCCACATTGAACATTAGGATTTTGTTGAGAGTGTGGGTTCTCTAGGGCCCTGCTGTGATTCCTTGGATTGTTGGCTGGGGCACTGGAGACCTTGGCTGGCTTCTGATGAGGTTACTGATGATGACAGTTGAAGTGCCTATATTTTTGTTAACATAGAAATTACCATCTTATCCGTTTGAAGGACAGTTGTGTTAAATGCATTCTCATTGTCATGCTACCATGTTATGATTTGTCTGTGTGTCCCCCGCAAAGACTCATGCGGCCATGGGGCAGGCTTTTAGAGTTGATTGAAGTGTGAGAGCTACACCCACCCTGGGGTGGATAGTTTGCATATGTAAGGGAGAGGAAAAGAGTGCTTGAGGCCATTCCTGGCTTTTGTGTTTTGTTGCTTTTGCTGTGTTCAGACACCAGGAGCTGTAGCCCTCTGCCATGTGCCACTCTGCCTTATAATCTG